TTGGAGGAAGACTCATTAACAACCTGCGATATGCAGATGATACAACCTTGCTTGCTGAAAGTGAAGAGCACTTAAAACATTTACTGATGAAGATCAAAGATCACAGCCTTCAGTATGGATTACATCTCAAAGTCAAGAAAACAAGAATCCTCACCACTGGTCCAATAAACAACATTCTTCTCAACGGAGAAAAGATTGAAGTTGTCAAGTACTTCATTTTTCTTGGCTCAACTATCAACACACACGAAAGCAGCAGTCGAGAAGTCAAATGATGTATTGCATTAGGCAAATCTGCTGCACAAGACCTTTTTAAAGTGTTGAAGAGCAAAGATGTCAGCTTGAAGACTAAGGTGTGTCTGACCCAAGCCATGGTATTTTCAATAACCTCATTGAATGCAAAAGCTGGACAGTGAATAAGGAAGACCGTAGAAGAATTGATGCCTTTGACTTAAAGTGTTGGAGGAGAATATTGAAAGTGCCATGGGCTGCATAAAGAACCATTAGATACGTTTTGGATGAAGCGCAGCCAGAATGCTCCTTAGAGGCCAAGATAGCCAAACTTCGTTTCTCATACTTTGGACATATTGTCAGGAGGGACCAATCACTGGAGAAAGATAATCATGTTTGGTAAGGTGGAGGGTCAAAGAAAAAGAGGAAGACCCCCAACAGATGGATTGGCCAAGGGGCAGCATCGATGGACTCAAGCGTGGCAACAATAGTGAGGTTGGCCCAGGATTGGGCAGTGTTTCGTTCAGCTATGCATAAGGTCGCTATGGGTTGGTATTGACTTGATGGTACCTAACAACAACAACAAACCAACTTTTTAATTTTTAAGTTTGAAATAGATCAAGCTTGTAATCAAGATATATTGATAATTACTGGTGATTGGAATGTAAAAGTTGAAAGCAAGGATCAGTAGTTGGAAAATATTGCCTTGGTAATAGAAACAGTGCTGGAGATGACATGATAGAATTTTACAAGACCTATGACTTTTTTTTTAACAACAGAGAACTCGACTATACACATGGACTTTACCAGATAGCATTCACATAAATCAAATTGACTACATCTATTGGAAGAGACAGTGGAAAAACTCCATATCATAGGTCAAAAAGGCTGGGGCGGATTGTAGAATAGACCATCAGTTGCGCATATGGAATAACAGAGTTTAAGTTGGTGATTTCTTATAGTTATCCCAATTCTAAATCCTTTAGTTTACTGCTACATAATTTGAATATGTTGTCTTCATATGGTCATTTATTTCTCCTTCTTGACACAAGAGCTATCTATAATTAATCAGAATCTTTTAAAAGTCTAGACCTTTTTATTCCCAGGACTGCTCTGGTACATTTTCATCTTATGCCTAATTTAGTGATGAGCATTGTAAACCTCTTATTTAAACTTTTTAGCTAAGAAACATTTCCTTTATGTAACATTTTTTTTTTTTCCTGACTCATAAATAATGACAAGATAACAGAAATTTGAAAGGGTTTCATCCTGGATGTTGATTTAAGGTGCTTTTAGGACAGTTTATTTTGTACTTCATTTATTTATTTATTTTTAAAGCCTCTTCTTTATGTTGTTGTTGTTAAGTGCCGTCGAGTAGGTTCCGACCCATAGCGACCCTGTACAGGGTTTCCGAGGGTGTAAATCCTTACGGGAGTAGAAAGCCTCATCTTTCTCCCACGGAGCGGCTGGTAGTTTCAAACCGCTGACCTTAAGGTTCACAGCCCGATTCGTAACCACTACGCTACCAGAGCTCCTTCCTCTTCTTTATAAGAAAACTTAATTCTGGAAAATCTTTGTTGTTGTTGTTGTCAGTTTCTCAATGTAACTGTCTGCCATCTAGTGGACAATCTAAATGGTGGTGATGTTAAGTGCCATTGAGTAACCTTATTACAACCCTGTGTAAGGTTTCCAAGGAATCACTGTTGGGCCTGAACTGCTTACCTTGTGTTAGCAGTCCAGTGCTTATCCTACAGATGCTAAGCTTTGTAAAATGGAGGGTTTTATGTAGAGTATAAGGAGTCCTGGTGGCACTGTAAGATAAGCACTGGACTACTAACTGGAGGATCCATGAGAGAAAGGTGAGATTTTCTGCTTCCATAAGGAATCACAGCTACTTAAACCTTATACAGGGTCACTGTGAGTCAGAATCAACTCACTGGCAGTGATTTTGTGTTTTGGTTATATATAGTGGTGGTGGTGGTGGTGGTGTGCTGTGGGTTTGGTTCCAGTTCATAGTGCCCCTGCATAGGGTGTCTGAGCCTGTAAATCTTTACAGGAGAAGAAAGCCTCATTGTTCTCTGGCCAAATGGCTGGTAGTTTCGAACTTCTGACCTTGAGGCTAGCAACCCAACTCATAACCACTGTGCTACCAGAGCTCCTTATACAGAATATATGCAGGTAAAGATAGAAACGGATCAGAAATATCCTGTAGGAATGTGTGTTTTCCATTAATGTGCACCAGTTCTAACTATTTAGGACAAAAATACTAAATTTTCTGATTTTGTCTTTTAGTTTATATTGGAGTTATGCCTAGCCTGTGTTTGGCAGTCATGGAATCCCAATACGGTGCTGTAGGATAACTGGACTGGTACCACAAAGTTGGCAGTTCAAACCCACCATCCACTCCTCATAAACCCTATGCAGGGTCCCTATCAGTTGACACTTTACAACAACATCTTTGTCATGGATAAATCTATGTTGTTCTTCCAGACTCAGTTTTCAGAAACAATTTATATAACTAATTTATCTAAAGATAAGCAGCAGTTGTTCAAAAGCACCAGCATGAGCTGGAGAGAGGTGAACTAGAAGACAGGGTAAGGATGCTGGGACCTAATGAGAGAAGGAGAGAGGGAGAGTACCATGGAAAGTGCACATGGGTGGGAAGCAAGCTGAGCTGAGAAAGGAGAGAGAAGAAACTGCAAAGAAACAGAGGGAGCTGTGGCAAAGAGGTCATTAGACAAAGTAGGAATGGGATTAAAGATGTATTCAAAAGAAAATAAATAGTATTAAAAATGAGTTGAGAGAGAAAGAAAAAGATGCTTAGAGAGGTATCACTTTTGATCTTGTAACGTATACCTTACTACTTATCATGATGATTTAAATAGAAAATGATTCTTCTAAAATGTCCTGAACACGAAACTAAATGTTGAGGCCAAAATAAATTAACATGGATTTCAGAAATTAAAATTACCAAAATTGTACCACATATCTTTTTTCTTTTTGGTGACAGGATTCAGCTAAACTAAAATATATTCTAAAAAGCATCCAGTAATGTACACATCTTGATTGTCAATGAATTGGGGCTTTTTGGAGTATATGATGTGTGGATTGATATTATTTAAAGTTTCTATACATATTTCTGAAGTTCTGAAATTTAATCTTTCATTCATGATGTCCCATAGGGAGCAAATCTTTTATTCAAGTTTTAAAGTTACTTGAATATATAAGAATCAGTGAGTCAGTTCTGACTTAAGGAAGATTTGTCATTTTGAATAAATGTATATCCACTGTTAACTGATGATACTTGGAGGGAATTGCAATAGTTGTAATGAAAGGAAGTGTATGATTTTTTAATGTGGGGTTGCTGATCTTCTCTGTAAAACTTCACTCAGTTAACTGTAAAGAATGTAAAAGAAACAAAGGAGAGGGTAATGGAGTTACAGAGTTTCCAAATGAAGATGCAATCAAATAGATTTTAAGAAGAAGAAGAAAAAAAAATTAACCCAACTATAAGAAAGAAGATATTTGGATGCAAGTCCTTTGTCAAATATGCATTTTGCAAATATTTTCTTCTAATTTGTGGCTTGTCTTTCTCATTACACTGTTTAGCAGAAAGATATTTTTAATTTTAATGAGGATCAATTTTTCTTTTTATGGATTGTCCTTTTGGTATTATATAAAAATTAATTGCCAAACTCAAGGTCACCTTGATTTTCTCCTCTGGTATCTTCTTGTATGGTACAGTAGTATAAGCACCGAATCACATGTCAGCAGTTCAAGCCCACCAGCTAGCTGCTCCTTGGAAACCCTATAGAGGGTCCTTATGAGTCGCAATGAACTCAAAGGCACTTAGCAACAATAATATCTTCTAAAAGTTGTACAATTTGCTTTTAGCTTTTATATCTGTGATCCACTTTGCATTAATTTTTTTGATAGACGTAAAATCTATGTCTAGCTTTCATTAAAAAAACCAAAAATTTCAATTTGCTTGTCCAGTTATTCTAGGACCCTTTGTTGAAAAAAACGGATCATTGAATTTCCTTTGCCGCTTATTAATGATCAGTTGGCTATGTTTGTGTGAGTCTGTTTATGAACTCTGTATTCTGCTTTTTTTTTTGTTTATTCGTGTGCTAATACCATGTTATCTTGATCTTGATCACTGTAGCTTTACAGTCAGTGTTAATGTCAGATAATATCAATCTTCTCACTGTATTCTTCAGGATTGTATTGGCTCTTCTTGATCTTTTGTCTTTGATATAAACTTTAGGATTAGTTGTTGATATCCACAAGATAATTTGCTGTGAATTTGATTGGGGTTGCAATGATTTGTAATATTGCCTTGCGAGTAAAGTTTTGCTAAAGGTAATACAGAAACGGCTACAATCATACATTGACAGAGAACTTCCAGAGGTTCAAGCTGGATTCAGAAGAGGCCGT